GGGATAGGGGGCAAGTGTAGCTAGATACCTTGCAGCTCCCAAAATCTTTTTCCACACCTCAGATCCCTTGCACAAACCGGAATGCTTTATCCTCAGATCCTTTGCATTATTTTTGAATGCTGCCTCAAGGGAGGCCAGGGGGGTTAGGTAGACAAGGTGTTGTTAAGCGCCCCACAGTTGGGAGGAAGAGCCCCCCTCATCTCCCAAATCCACCTTCTCAATCAATATTGGCAAGAGGAATTGTATTCAAAACCCAAATTTTATAATGAGACGTTGAACCCATTTTCCAGCAGATGTCCTCCCGCCAATTGACTGAAGCAACCAGAAGTCCACTAGGGGAGGGTGCTCTTACCACCTCTCCTAGTAGGGGGAGTCGTTTTCAAAAAAAATGCATCTTCAAACTGTTTCAAAAAAAACGAAAAAAATACATGATTTTCACAAAATGTGTACTATATGAGCAACTAATAGCACATGAGTATGAGATATAATCACTTAAAAAGAAGTCAAAAAGTTTGAACCTAATGCTTCTTTTGACCATGTAGGTTACCTTTTAAGTGGTTTGTCGTGTGGAATGTTGAGAGTGCTGAATAGGTCATTGACCCAAAAAATTTCAAAGTTAGCGCTCCTTAGGTTGTCAATATTGATCCATATCAAAGTAGAGGTTGAATCCACGCCAAGGTGCCAAACTCATTTGGGTTGCAGGGATTTTTGCTCAGGACACGATCTCGTTGATCAATTGAGAAATGGTAGGAGTCATGGGGGCCTTCTCATAATTTCTCGCGTTTGTGGGCAGAGGAGGAAGCGAGGTAGACATGATGGGAGATGGAAAGGAAGGAGGTGTGAGAGGTAGGAAGAGGAGTACACCAGCAAGTGCGAGGGAACAGAGGGATTAGTGAGGAGTCAGCGAAGTCCAGAAATTGCGATTGCTCGTGAGATGGTGGCATGAAGCCGGCCAAGGGGGGGGGAGTGTCTGGATCTAGGGTGGTGGAGGAGTAGGACGGTAAGAAAGAGATGGTGGGAGGAGCCTAAGCCCTAATAAGACCCTAATTGAGTTTTGAGGAGGTTAGGGTGGAGAAGCGGCAACCTAATTAAGAAAACGAAAAATAACAACCATAGAGGGAGAAGGGGGGGAGGGGAGGAATAAATGGTGAAATTTCAAAACATTTAAATAAATAAAAAATTGAGGAGTAGGAAAGTTATTTATATTTTTGAAACTTTTGGCAGCATTTCCCCCCATGAGGTCAATATGTGCCAATAAGGAAAGACAGAAAAAGTACACTAAACTTTCAAAATGTCGCAAATCAAAAATTTTAATAAATAAATAAATAGGCAAGGGAGGATTGAAAAAATTACTTTTTTCCTGACTTTCCAAAACTTTTTGCAGCATTTCGCTATTCCCATGAGGTTAAAATGTGTATAGGATATGAGAATGTGGGCGGCGGCAACAGGCGGGGGATCGCTAACGCACGCAGCGCAACGTAGGCATTGCATGCATGCCAGAATTCACCGGCGGGATGGCACGGACGCAAGGGGATGAAGCGTGCGTGTGGGCGCTGGATGGCTTGTTGTCCATCGGGGGTATTACTATGCCCCTTGCTATGGCCGGCCTTGGTCGGTTGGAGCCGACAATCCTCATGAGGTCGCAAAGGGAGAGAGTCCCATGTGTGGCTGACCGCGAGGCAGGGTTTGCTAGCCGTCAGCATACCATAAACGAAGCTTGATCAGGGGCTTCGGCCCCCTGGTCTTAGATATGTAGCTTTGTGGATTGCTAGTGCCGGATGGTGATGGAGTTGGAGCCATTGCTTATTGGAAGACGCTTACAAGGACTGTTGCGACTCTGGTCTTAGTTCCCTTGTTGCTGTGAAGGCGTGGGCGACTTCGACATGATAGGGTTGTGCTCAGTTCATTTTTGGCAACTGTTGGCAAGCTTCTTCCTCATCATGATAGAGGATTTTTTTCCGTGATGTGATCGTTTTCCACTGATGCTATAGGCGTGATTGTTAATTGTTGTTAGATGAGGTTAAGAGTCTAATTAGTGATTTTGGTTATTGCCTTTTCGTTTTTTGGTTTTCCTGTTTTCTGTTTTGGTTGCCGTTTTAGGCGCAATTGTTAATTGTTATTAGATTAGGTTTAAGAGTTACAATTAGCAATTTTGCTTTTTGCTTTTTCGTTTTTTGGTTTTCCCGTTTGTTGTGTGGTTGATTGTGAAGTGGAGAGATAAACATGGGAGTGTCACTCTGCGAAGACCCTATCATGGTGGGCAGCGGGGCTTTTCGGGGGTTGATGCTGAATGGGGGAGCAGTTTGTTCTAAATCGCGAGGAGGAGGGTGGGTTTGCAAGGTCTTTCGACCCTTATCGCGCAGGTGGTAGGGCATTCGTGCAAGTTCGTTGATGTTTCGGAATCACGTTCGTTTCTCCACAAGTGCTTTGGGTCTTTGCTATCATCCTTTTCTTATGGACGGGAGAGCGTCGCTCCGTAGGATCTTCATCATGGAGAGAGATGAAGACGCCATTTGGGGAGTGCACGTGGACGGGGGTGTGGAATACCCTAAATCGCAAGGAGGTGGGTGGGCTTTGCGGGGCCTTTGGCCCCTACCGAATGGGGAGTAGGGTAGTTCTGAGGGTTGCTGATGCACGATCATGGAGGGAGTTGGTGTTTTAGGGTAGGCAACATAGAGGATGGAGTGATCTGCTTTGAATCGCAAGGAGGTGGGTGGGTTTGCGGGGTCTGCGGTCACAGACCCCTGCCACGCGGGTGGCAGGGTGGATCTCAGGTTTGGGTGATTCTCAGGGGTGGTAGGTTTTGCCTTTGTAGGGTTTGTTTTTGATGTTTTTCTTTCTTTAGGTAATCTGTGTTGTGCACAATAGGGATTTTGTCATTTCGTTCAATTTGTAGTGTAGCTTTGGAATAAATTGTAACCTTTTCACATGATGTGAGGGATGTCGGACCCATTTGCCGACTCTTATAATTCGAAAGCGGTTGTCGTATGAACTAGGACGGAGTGCCTGGATCATACGACACTCTGGCCACCCTTAAGGGGGGGGGCAAAAAAGTGGCAATAGAAAAATTACTAGGTAAAGATGAAAATTTTGCAAACACTTCGCTAACCCGTAGGTTCAAAATGTGCTGGGAAGGAAACAAAATGTGTTGGGAACTAGGCTACCAGAGTGGGTCGGGACCATTAGTAGGGCCTTCCCTGGTCCTTGCATGGTCGGGCCGCCCGGGAAAACAGGGTGACCCGGGCGACTCTGAAGAAGACAATGACTCAGAGGCACAACCTTTGGCCTCGAAGCGGCACAAACAGTCAGATTGACTTAGTGATTTGGCTGGTGATGAGGTGGCTATTGGGACTGCCTCTCACATATGCTATTTTGAGAGAGAGAGAGAGAGAGAGAGAGAGAGAGAGAGAGAGAGAGAGAGAGAGAGAGAGAGATGTTAGCAGCATTGTTGACTAGATATCAGCGTCAACCGCTTTTCTTTGCACGATTTTCTACTGCTCAATCTTTCGATTCTTTTCAACTCTTTTGATAAAACTTATGAAGTTATGAACTTATAGAGATCTGACCTGGTCTCATTTTGTTGGCAGTCTGCTTGTAAAAGGATGATCCGATTATCTGGCAGGTGATGCCCTGCTGTGGCCTTTTTCAGGCTTGGAATTCAGAAGAGGTAAGTATGATTAAGTTAATTTAAGTATCTCAAACTCTCGGGGTTGCTAACACTTGCGGTCTGCTTTTGCAATCAGCAGTCGGTACGAAGTAGCGTCGACTGGCATTACGTTGTCCCTTTTTTTTTTTTTTTTTTTTTTTTTTTAATCCGGACCTCCGGGTCCGGTTTTGTCCGGTGTCCGGAAGATGTCCGGATTGGACCGGACACAAGTCCGGTTTCGTGTCTGGACGTGATGGGTGTCCAGGTCCGGGGTAACCATGTTTCTTATTCAGTTTTTTTTTTTTTTTTTAATTTAAAAAATTTCTAGGCTACCATAGTGGCCCGGGACCACTTGCCTGGCCGGGCCAAAAAATATATACATATACAGGGTAACCGGCATTCGGGACGGGCGGAAAGCCCGAACGTATGGGACCCCTTGGGGATGCGTTTGGCCGTTCAGGCCGAACGCGGATCMAAAAAAAAAAAAAAAAAAAAAAAAAAAAAAAAAAAAAACTGAAAAAACGATATGTTATGAAGAAAAATAAACTAAACAAGATTTGCCTGAGCATTACATCCAAATTCCTTGCCAAATTTGAAATAAAAATAAATACTAAAAAAATAAAAATAAAAAAAATTAGCGAGTTCACGAGCACGTTTTCGACACCTCCATCTTTGGCGATTTTTCATTATACCCTGAAAATTTACATATGTGTACTTCACATAATGCAAAACACACTAAAAAAGTTTCAAAAAAAATAAAATTGTTTAGACCCCGAACTAAAGTGACAACAGAAAGTAAAAAGTGAAAAAAAACGTGGGCAAGCACGTTTTGACACCGCCATCTTTAGAGATTTTTAATTCTTATTTGGCTGAGCCAAATGACTCGGAAATTTATAGGCGTGTACCTCACGTCATAGAGAACTAACAAAACAAAATTCAGAAAAAAAAAAAATATTTTTAGGCCCCGAACTAATTTTTGGCGGGGGCCGAATGCCATCGGGTTTGGACCCCGTAGGGGACCCCGAACGCCCGTACGTACGGAGGTCTGCGCGGGGACCTCCGTACGTACGGGCTGGTAACCCTGTATATATATATATATATATATATTTTTTTTAATTTTTAATTTTTTATTTTAAACTTGGTAAAGAATTGTAATGTGACCCCGAGAGAAAAGTTGTTCAATTTATGTTTTTGCATAACATAGTTTTTTTCGGAGTTTTTGGATTTTTTTTTTTTTTTTTTTTTTTGGGACCTAGCACGGTCGGACCGCCTGGGAAAACAACGGGACCCGGGCGGTCCGACTGGTAGCCTAAAATTCGTTTTTTTCCTGTGATATTAAAAATCCCTCATAGGACTTGGTTATTTTGTCGTCGACGCACATTTTTTCCTCATAGTCGTAACGAGATGCAGCCAATTTTTTTTCTTTTAGCTTAGTTTATTTTCTTTCGAGCCGCAGTCCTCTTCAGAATTGTTGTCACTCCCATCATCAGCTCTTGCCTCACTTTCGACATCAGCAGTCACCAGGCAAGTTGTTGTGTCCTCCGACAATTGAACTGCCTCCTTTCGTGGTCTGCCCCTCGGACGTTTGGCAGATGTCACAGCAACATCTTCTTCTTCTGATCTGCCCTCCTCCTTCCCCTCCTCCTCATCGTCCGTTACCCCTTGGGTAGCGGCTTCCTTCTCCAACGGCCTGGTCACCTTACATGGTCGCCCCCTCGGCCTTTTGACAGGTTTTGCAGCTGGTGCACAAGCCTTGGCCCGGGCAGCTAGATATTTCTCAGCGTGTTCTGAAGTCATTGTTTCCATGACTCTCTCCATCTTATCCAGATGGGCCCGGGCCAAATACTTAGAAGCCCTGGCAGGCTTCCTCCACGATTCATTCATCTCCCTCTCCAGTTCGAGGACACTGTCATGAAGTCTGTGACGCGTCACCTCCCTCTGTGTTGTGCACATACCGTCTGTAGTTGCCTCACGACTCACAACCTCATCAACTGCAGGCACATTATCATCATCATCATCACCATTGTCCTCCTCCTCCTCCTCATCAGTGTCATTCAAACTGTCATTCGCAGTCCGCGAACGAGCCCGCCACTCCTCCACTCCCTTTTTTGCATCCTGAGAGAGCTCCTCCACTTGCTTTTTTTCCTCCTTATAATCCACCTCCCATGGAATGTCGTCACCGCCACGTTGTTTGGAACCCGCCAAGTTGTCCAGCAGACGCTGATTCCAGCTATTGAAAACCAGAGTGCTGAGTTTCACAACACCCAAGCTGTTGCGCAGCAGAGAGTGGATCCGTTCAAAAAGGCTCCAATTCCTCTCACATCCTGAGGAGGAGGAACCCTGACCGAGCAAGCAAATTGCCAACTTCTGCAAGTTCGAGAAGTCACCTCAATATTTTTTCCACCATCTTGCAGGCTGAGCTCCACGTGCTGCCTCCCTCGCTTCTTCGGAATTGAACCGTCCGGTGCCCTCTATCCAACTACTCACCTCCTCATCAACCTCCTTGTACTTCGGTTTTGGACACCACGAGTAGAGTCATGTCCAGAATCCATCTGCGACCTCGACATCCTTGTCTGGACGCATTGTTCTATACTCCGGGTCCAAGAACATTGCTGCGCAATGCAGCGGTGATGTCATCACGTTCTAGGGACGCATGATGATATCCTCCAATTCCTCCTTTTCTACATCACTGAAACATTATTTTGCCTTCAACTTCTCCACCGCACAGTCCATACGGCCATACACTTCGCTTATCGTGGGTAATTGTCCATCCACGAACCTCAGTAGGTCTAACAATTCCTTGGATGTTTCCTGCACCTTCGCCACCCCCGCCCAAAAGGAATCATCAATGACGCAATGGGTGGCACTCAAGAATAATTGTCGCTATGTTGAATTGACAATGTGGGGCTTCCAATCCTTGTCCGCCACGCAAGCTCGCAAAGGGAGGTATAGGCCTTGTAAGTTGTCCAACATCAGGAAATTCGTAGCAAAACGGGTGGCACCCGGTTTTGCCACGACTTCGCCATTGGAGGAGAGCAGGAGGTCCCGCACCTTGGAGTGGTTGGTGAAGAACTTTGCGACCTCCCACGCCCTTTTCAGCACATCATTAACCCATCATATCTTTGCGAATGCCTCCAAAATCAAATCTATGTTGTGCGCAGTGCACGACACAGAGAAAATATGCGGGAAATTCGCCTCAATCATCCGTCCAGCACGTGCACACACAGTTGCATTATCCATTACAATCCCCACCACTGAATCTTCGCTAATCTCCATGATGACCTTCCTCAATATGTCATAGTGTGCGACAGATCCTTTGTCACGCCTGGACATGCACACACTCCGCCAAAATATTACCCCCTTCGGAAAAGAGACCATCACATTGATGTGTGGCCTCGCACGTCAATCGGTCCACCCATCCAATTGCAACAAGCAACCAGTGGTGGGCCACTGCTGCCGCAATTCCTCTACCCTTGCAAAAACCCTCTGTCGGGTTTTCTGCACTCGCACTGTTCGCGCCTTCGCGTACTTCGCGTATTGAAACGAGGTTGGCGCCTTCATCAATTTTTTTACCATCCTGTCCCACTATATGCTTTTCCTCATGTTAAAAGGGATGCACTCCGCAGTCATCCAGTCGTTAATGGAGCGCTAAGTGTCCTCATAGGCCGCAAACACAACACCGTTGTCCATTATGGTAGCCTGGCACAATAGTGTTTCGGACCCAGCCTCGGAGGCAGCCGTTGGACATTCCGAAGTGACATCTCAAGGCACAATTTCATCCTCCTCCGACAAACCCTCCTCCACCAGTGCGCTTGCCGCCCCAAGGTCCGACAAGGTTTGTAGTCTCCCTCTTTTCCTCCGCTGGAATTCCTCCTTCGGCAAGGTTCCTTTCAACCGGCTGACATGGCATCTCGACTTCAGGAAGTGGTCTCTCGCCCTGCTGGTTGTCCCACTAACTGGCCTGTCACAATACTTGCATCGTCTACTCCTACTGCCTTTATTGAGTGGACCTACTGGTCCCAAGTCTGTGAAAGTGCTTTTTAACGGCCTCCTTATCGTACTTCGTCATTCTACTAACAGGTGTGATCCAACCAAGAACATGTTCATTGTCGGAGTCGGCCTATTCTCTCACTTTCTCATCTACCGAAATCCCTTTCCTGTTTCATTGTCTCAATCAATCAATCAAGCAATCAATCAACCAACCAACCAATCAATCAAGCAGTCAAGCCGATCAATCGACCAACCAATCAATCAACCAATCAAGTCAAAATTGACTTGATTGATTGATTGGTTGATTGGTTGATTGATCGACTTGACTGATTGATTGATTGATTGATTGATTGATTGATTGGTTGGTTGGTTGGTTGGTTGATTGATTGATTGATTGGTTGGCCAATCAATCTATCAATCAATCAAGCAATCCGCCGATCGATCAATCAATCAATCAATCAATCGATCAATCAATCAATCAATCAATCAATCAATCAATCAATCAAGCAAGCAAGCAAGCAATCAAGCAATCAATCGATTGATTGACTTGATTGATTGATTGATTGATTGATTGATTGATTGGTTGATTGGTTGATTTATTGATCGATTGATTGATTGATTGATTGAGTTCATTGACTTCATGGATTGATTAGTCAATGAAACAGGAAGCATTCGTCCCTTCTCCTCACCTCCATCCCTCCACTTCAACCCTCCATCACTCCTTCTACTCGCCTCCATCCCTCCTCCTCCTCCCACCGGCCTCCATCCCAGCCCATCCTCCTGCGCCAGCTTTATCGGAGTATAACGACAAAAAAAAAACAACGAAGTGGAATTCATCTCTCCTCCTCCTACTTGCTCCATCCCTCCTTTTCCTCGCAACTGCCTCCATCCCACCTCCTGCTCAAGAAACAACTGGCCGCCAAGTCGGCATATAACAACCAAAAAAAAAAAAAAAAAAAAAAAAAAAAAAAAAAAAAAAAAAAAACAAACAAACAAACACAACCTCTTACTCCGGGTAAAGAAACAACTAGGTGCTTCGTCAGCATACAACAACAAAGAAGAGAAAAACGCAGTGGCATCCACCCTAGTTCCTCCTGCTCGTCTCCATCCCTCCTCCTCCTCCGACCTAACTCCATCCCACCTCCTCTGGCTGCTGAAGATACAACTGGCAGTTTTGTCAGCATATAACAACAAAAAAAAAAACACGCTCCAATGGTCATCTACAACGGAAGATGACAACAAAACGAAAAAAAAATGAATGCATCCCTCCTACTCACGAAAAGACTGGCCGCTTTGTTGGCATAAAAAACACAAATGCAGCGGCCTCCATCCCTCCTCTTCCCACGTCGGATCCCTCCATGCATCCATCCCTCTTCCTCCTCGCCTCCACCCTCCTCCCCCTCCAACTTCTCCTCGCCTCCATCCCTCATCCTCCTCCCACGGCGAACCCCTGCTTGTCTCCATCCCACTTCCTCCTATCGAAGACCCAATGGTCATCTTCGTTAGAAGATGACAACAACAAAACAAAAAACGTGAAAGCATCCTCATACTCATGCAAGGACTGGCCGCTTTCTCGGCATTAAAAAAAAAAAATGAAACGGCCTCCACCCCTCCTCTTCCCACGTTGAACCCCTCCATGCATTCAAGTCGGGCCCCTCCATGGATCCACATCGAACCCCTCCATGCATCCATCCCTCTTCCTCATCCTCCAACTTCTCCTCACCTCCATCTACACTGGAGGATGACAACAAAAAAAACAACAAAAAAATGACAACATCCCTGACCGCTTTGTCGGCATTTGAAAACAAATAAAACAAAATGCAACGGCCTCCATCCCTCCTCTTCCCACGTCGAACCCCTCCATGCATACATCCATCGCCCTTCCTCCTCGCCTCCACCCTCCTCCTCCAGCTTCTCCTCTCTTCCCTCCCTCCTCCTCCTCCCTGTTGAACCCCTGCTTGCCTCTCCACGCCGAACCCCTCCATGCATTCATCCCTTTTCCTCCTCGCGATCACCCTCCTCCTTCTCCAAGAACTTTTCCTCGCCTTCATCCCTCATCATTCTCCCACGTCGAACACCTGCTTGCCTCGTACGGGTACTTTGGACACCAGACATACATTTTTTCCTCCTCTATTGACCCTGGATGCACTCGAAGGTACGACACACTCTAGAATTGAACAATGAAGAATGAATGAAGAAACAAACTGCAAGCAGGGATGTATCCCCAGTGGACTGACTGAATTGGTACCGACAGTGGTACCGGACTGAATAACACACGACCCATGAGATCAGGCTGAACTGATGGAGAAAACAAATAGCCCCAACTATATTTTGGGGTCGATAGAGTCCCACTGCAAGTAGGATGTCCCTGCCATACCCTTTCTCTTTGGTTAGATACATGTATTAAAAACTCACTCATCACTTCAACACCATACGCAAGAACCAGTCACCTGGTGTATACCTGCATGACCAATACTGTCATGACAAGGGTATTGCCAACAATGGGGTGAGCTCACATTCGTATATGACGCACCCCATCATGGGGGCCTCATGCTTTTCTATGGGACACTGAATTTCGTTTCTAGCACATGTTGGTCCCCACAAATAGACTGGAGTCGTCCACAGACAACCCCAGACCTTTGAGGTGCTCTTATCACCCCAGGGTAGTTGGCCGTGCACGAATGTTAAAAAAAAATAAAAAAACCTTTACGGGTGATCCTGGAAGATCCCTTGGGTAGGGCAGGAGGGTTAGGGGGATCCCAGTACACATATAAAGGTTTTATAAAGATTACATCTATCTGCAGCTTGGATGGGCCTATAGACTATATTAAAAATTGAGTAATAATTTGGTGGTATTGTTTCTTTCCCTCTTGAATTCCATCTCCATCTCCATCTTCTTCCTCTGCCTTCTTCACGGTTACAAGATCTGTCATCTAGGCAGCTCCCGTTACATTGGTATCAGAGCAAGTGATGTTCCTGCTCACTCCCACCCACACCCTCTATCTTTGCAAAGCGGCCTGAGCAAAAAGCTTGCCATTTCACTTTAGTAATGGCACCGCTGCACATTTTTTATCATATTCCGTGCATCTGGTGTCCATTTTTTTTTTAATCTTTGGCTTGCTGGAGAATTCTCGACAAATCGCTTCCAACGAGCGAAAATATTGTTCAAGTTCAATTTTGTGTGCTAGTTGAGAAGCTATTATAATCATTTAAAGATCGTAATTTTTCTCAAACTACAAAATCACGCTCGTTCGTTTATTGAGGAGCATTATTACTACAGGTTGCGGCTTATACCCCACTATATTTCATGGATGTGGCTTTCAAAAAGTTTTCCAGAGAGTCGTTTTTTGTGAAATCCGTCCAACAGATCAAAAGTTATTGACAAAAAATTATTGCCTCTCTCTCCCCTTTCTCTCTCCTTGTAGTCATTTCCCAGAGTGTCACGTGGCAACACTTGAAGATTTTAAAGACCTCCCTCATTAGGGGGTTGCGATATAAGGATCCTCAAGGTGGCTGATGAAAATCTCAGCCACCATCAATATTTTTTACAGATCTTATCCATTACGACA